CTCTATCAAAAGCTTTCCGGACGATTTCCTCTTCTTCATTCGTAAAGTTAATCAACTTACTTAAACCTGTATCCGTTTCCTTCCCCTGACCTAGGTATAAAAAGATATAAGAAAATGAATGTAAAACGAGATAAAAATGGATATAAAGAACTTTCTAATGGTAAAGTATATAACAAATTATGACCTTAACATCTGTTACAATAATTTTAAATATCCTCCCGTTGCTTGCTTGCTTACCTTGTGATAACTGATATGCATTTTTCATTTCTTCAACAACAGTAGCAGTGGAATTTTCTTGTATAAATCGAAGAACAAATTCACTAAATTTATCTGGATTTAATTGTGTTGAGTAAAAAGGAAATATTATCGATGTTGTGGTTAAAAAAACACTGTATTATATGAAATTATTGCGGAGAAAGCAGTATAGGTTTGGAATATTCGAATGCAATGTGGTACTACTTATCCTGGTCACCGCCCTTAATTTTTTCAATCAATTTCGAGATTTTTTCAGCTGGCCCTCCTTTTAAACCATAATTCATGAGCTTATCCGCATTCAACCTGAGGAAGGCTAAGCCATCAATTTCTTGTTCACGAAGAATATTGAAATGCTTATCCTCAAGTCCTATATCTTGGTCGCGTAAAAAATTTATCAGATCCTCCGTTGTCTTATATCCTTCAACTTCATTGATTGTAGGAAGTGAAATTGTTTTTCCAGTAGAAGTAGACATATTCACGAATTTAGTTTTTGGACAGGACGAAAAATTTTTTTAGTAATAGTCGTACATTCTACCATTCTACCTTTTTTATGGGTTGGCTAAGCATGACCGAAATGTGTGACAGATTATGCCGATGTGGCGCGACTGTCGATTGATCTGACTGACTCTATATCTCCTTTGTAATATTATTATGACATCTTATTTCTTTCTCGATTTTTTTACTCACGCGTCCTGTATTATTAGTCGAAGCAAATACTTTTCTCTCAATCAAAACTTCTCTTTTACACTTTCACCCATATGAAAACTCTTTTAACCTTCATATAAATTTAAAGTTTTAAAGATTATACAACCTGTGCTTCATGAAATATACCAGTTGACAATATGAAAAATACTTGTCAGGTTTGTTAATTATGTACCTGTTTGCTCTAATCAACAGGGTTTTTTAGAACAAACTATATATATATTTTGAAAAGCAGCATTTTTATTTTGGGTGAACTTTATTTTGGATTTTATTATTAAAGTTTATCAATAATCTTTATCATTAATTTTATTAGTTTATTTAGTTTATAATTCATCAATATATATAAATTTTCTATCATTATAGAGACTTTTGTTATACATATTATCATTCATTAAGTAGTACTTATGTATTTTAATTATATTATAGATTTTTCTTTAAAATTTTTTATTTGATATTTTAAAACCAGTTCTTTCTCATTATTATACTTATTTAATTCAAAGATTTGATATCTTATCATTATATCAAATGTAAGAGAACTTTGAAATTGAAAATTTTAAGTTAAATGCATTCATAAATATACATAATAAAAAAGATATATCAAAATAATTTGTAGTATTTGAATTTTATTCAAAAATTATGATATCAGAAATAAAAGGATTTAAAATAATAAAAAATATGATACTTTTTAGAGAGTTATATTATTGTATTCATAGTTATCAAGTTAAGAAAAAAGAAGAAAATCATATTAAAAAATATCAGCATTCATCTCAGAAATGTGATATTGATTATATTGTAAATATTTATCTTTAATTAGAATATCAGAAACTTATACATAGTTACCTATTAAAAATTAATCCTAAATTTATATATAATCATATAATTAATTTAGCAGAATTACTCAATTTTTGCCATATTAGAAATAAAGTTTGTAAAAAACTTATTGAGTTATTTAAAGACAGACATTCACCTACTTCTGTATTATTTATATATGAAGATAAACTATATCTTAATACTATGAATGATCAAGAATTATTATAAATACTTTTTAATCAAGTATTTAATTCAGATTATGATACTGTTTTTCATCTTTTTTGAAAATAACATGAAATTGCACTTGGTAGTTATAATGAAAAATTGATATTTAAGCACTTAAGATTGATGATTAAAGAATATAACAAGTCAAGTCAGAATAAAGTGGTATTACAAGAATTTGATATAAATATTAGAAAGATATTTATACTTTATATTGTAATAGATTTTATGTGTTAAATACATAAGAAAATTTCACAAGCATATAAATTGTATTATATGGATATTTTAACTTTGTTTGAACTTCTTAATATATTGATTATCCTTTTATATACTAGCTGTATAGTTGATATTCTTCTGCTTGAACTATTTATCACTTTAGATGAACTTGAAATTATATTAGAAAAGATAATAAATTTATTAAAAAAAATTCTTCCTGAACATATCTTTTTTGAATATGATTCACAAATAGATCTGATTATTTTTCTCATAGATGATTCAAAAACAAAATGTAATGCTCTAAAAATATGTTAGCCACAAGATATATATATTTATTTTTTAAAATCTAATAAGAATTTATTAATGAAAATTTCTGAATTATTTATAATAAACTAATCTCTTATCTTTTTTGATTAAAACTTATTATAAGAATTTATTTTTTATATATGTTTTATATTCTTCAATCATTTTGAAAATAGTTCTATGATCTGAAATATCTTATTAAGAAGAAGAATCAAGTTTTTATAATAAAAAAGATGAAAAAAATTCTTTATATATTATCAGATCTGGAGATAAATATGTATTTCAATAATTTTAAGATCATTATTCATTTCTATAAAAATATTTTGAGTTCTTATAAAAGTATTATCAATTTTAAATATTATTTTTTTAAGTTGAATTATCTATATGTGAAAATAATATAAATAATTATGTTAAATAAAGTTTTAGAATTTTAAAAGATATAATTTTTATAAGAATATAAGCATATAATTTGATATAAATATTTCAATTTATAGTAATAAATATAGAGAGATTTTACAAGTAGAGACTACTTGAAATATACATAAATATTCTGAATACTTACATATTACAAGATATTTTTTGTATTCTGATTAGAACAGAGTAAATATGAATTTTATTAAAAAAATAAATATAAAAATAAATTCTTAGTTCTTAATACAAGACAAGATGACTTTTTTTATATTGTAAATAGTAAATTTAAAATATATACTTATTCTGTTAGAGTATCTGAAGCATCTTGTAAATATTAAAAAATAATTATAATAAAATATTATATTATAATACTTAATTTTATATTTTTATTAATATTTGAAGATTATATAGTATATACTTATATTGCACTTGATAAGTAAGATTTATTATTTTAAAAATATTTATAATTATATTTGAATTTATTATTTTCTTTAGATTATACCTCAGAAAATATCTCTTTTTATATATCATTATAAGCAAAATTCATTCTGTAAGATCAAGAATCTACATTACAAAACAGTTTTTTAATAATACTCTTAACAAAAATATTAAGTAGAGATATAATAATTCTAATAATTTGTAAATTTACTTAAAAATAATTTTAAATAAGTTATATAATTATTAATCTATCTAGAATATCTAATAAAAAAATACTAAAATAAATTATATTATATTTATTATATTTTTAAAAAAAGTGAAATCAGACTATTAAAATACTAGTTCTCAATTATGTATTATATTAGATAAGTTTGCAGAATAATATCATTTAATAAAATCAAAATCTATTTCTTGACTTACTTCTTATCTCTATAATCTTAATTGTGATTTAGATCTAACAGCTCATATTAAAAGTGATTTAATGATTTGTATTCAGATTAAATCTATTAAAAGATGAAAGATTAAAGATTCTAGTAATAAAAAGTAAAAGCTTTCTAATAATATCTATAAAAAAAGAAGAATTTTGATTCTCACATTATTCTTGCATGAAAAAAGAAGATAACAGCTAAAAAAATTATAATTTAAGCATAAATATAGTAAAGAATCAATTAAATTAAAGATATTTTATTTTATCTATTAGTTCTATTTAATTTAGTAATTATAAACTGTTGCAAGAAGATTAATATATCAATATAAAAATTAATAATTACTTCTAATAAAAATTATTCAAATTTTAACTAATCTTTATAATTTTTTTAT